GGCTTCTAGATGGGCCGACTCATCTATGAAATGCAAAATGCCCCCCCCGTCGACAATACCTTCGGTAGCGGTGATTGGCAAGATGCCTACGGGAAACTCGTCCGAAATCGATTTTCAAGTCACTGAGAACGGAGGCTTTTTCTTCGCAGGATTTTGACCGTTTCACTCCGTTCTTTCGCCATTTCCCCACTATACAGCGCCCTACTAGCATTTTAGGCTAAGTAGGAAACCATCGTGCCAACTGCCTTTGAGCGATTCAGTCGCACGACTCGGGAATCGCGTGGTTGTCACAGACGGCGCTCCATCGCCTTTCGTTCCAGACATTGATCAGCCATACTTATTCTATAATATTTTGTGCTGTTCGACTTAGTGAGGGGGGTGCATTACGCTTTTTTGCTGATTCCCTTGGTTAGCTCATGTTAACTAACAGGTCCAACTCCAAGAAACCTGTAAGCTCTTATGAAGCTGGTGCAATCAAGCCAATTTAGTTTTAGGAATTTACAAGCTTTCACAAGATGTCCTGCACAAGTGTCGCTGAATACTTTTTGGTTCCCCCATGGAGCCAATCCAACCTCTTTTTTGTGGTACCCCATGCCAGTTGTGATTAAGATGAAATTCGTACACACTTCAACGTTCCAATCTTTCAGAGACTTTGGAGGGCCACGTAAACGCTATTCAGTCACGCAAATGGAGTTTTTCGGTAGACCACCTGCTGAGAGGTGGTCTGTGTTGAAGGAGTGGTGCGAAGAATAATAAATTCCAACTTAGGCTAGTTTTTCTTGCGCAATTGATGTTCGATCTTCCTAGCATTCATGCAAGTTTCCTTTATCTCTCTTATGTTATCCTACTGCCTGGTGCTGTCCTAGCGAGAGTAGTTTTGTGCAACTCTATTGGGGAGTAGTTCGGGGTACAGGTGGCGCAGCTATGCCACATCACGCCCGCTTGTCTTGGTCCCCTCACCGAGGAAAGTATGTGTAATCCTGGTCAGACAAGACATGGCAGGGTATACTCGTGCCCCCCTCGAATTACCTTCGCCATAAAAGTTGCCATAGGGTTAGTTAAGTTTGTTTTCACTTCAAAGTGTCTAGTTATTGACTTCCTGCGCGAGTTAGTTACGAAATAAAAAAGATAGAGTACTTGAAGAAATATGCGCAGAAGAAAGCCTTGTTATTATGCTTCAGTAGCATAAATCATTAAAGCTACAAGATAGAATAAGTTCGATGTTTGATTGTTTCGCTTCATTAATGAGTCTGTTTAGAAAGCCCTTATATGGCATGTATAGCAGTAGCTGTAAGTGCAAGATTTCAGGTAGTTGTTATTTGGTGCTGTTGAGAAGTTATCACAGATTTTTTATTATATTTCCCTAATCAAATCGTATTATTATATCAAAATTGACCGATTTCTATTATTGAAATTCCGATTTTCCATGGTTTTGGCGCAGGTGCAGCAGAGGTCCGCTACTCGTGCCATTGACGTTACATGACTGGTTATTGACGAAGAAACCTGTATTGTATGATTGTCACTAAGACACACTTCGCGATGACGCGCATGGACGCCCTGCAACTTGCCTGCGCCCCATTCCGCGCACCCAGCCGCAGACGGGATTCAATCGGCGTTGACCGTTCGTTTCTTGAGAGAGCATAGGATAACAGGAGTGAGAGCGCAGCCTCCACACAATCTGGTACTCTCCTATTCATCTGTACTCTCCCAAATCACTAACGACCAGATCCGATCGATACCAGCCTGCGCGACTAGGTCACGCGCACCCTTCTACTCCGCTATACTCTCTCAAAACATTGGCAGCCGGCGCCAATCAAATCCCGTCTGCAGCCGCGTCCGCGTCTCTAGCATTAGAGCGCTGCTGCAGTTTAGCGCGTTACAGCGCGTCACCGTCGTCGCGAAGTCTGAACGCTACCTAACGCGCCAAGACAAGTCATTGACAAAGTTGGTGACGTCAACGACACCCCACCTATTCCTTAACCTAGACGTGACGAATTGTGTACCTCTGCTACATCAGCGGCGTTTTCCGTTTCCCGGTCTCAATTGCAAGTTTGTGCCTCATTTGGATTTCGGTGAACAAATGCATTGTGATAAGCATAGTATTATTGAAAATAAAGAGTTAACTATTGCTTTTTTGTGATAGTTGTCCCAGGTACCACTAACCAATATCGAATTATTTATTGCTATGATTTGTAGTCAGTATGGAAAGTGATGGAAGTGCAGAGATGGTTCGTGACGGGCCGGTTCGTGAATATTAACGAGGTGGCGGTATTGGGAAGTCGACATGAAATTGACATTGTCGCCCCGAGTATTCGTCCCACAGGAAAGCTGTCAACTCAACTCTTCAGTTGCAACGTTGTCGTGGGCTTAATTGGTCGGCGCTGTTCATTTCTTACGTAACGCGCAAGAATTCAATAGTAGGAAACGAACAGCAGCAGGTGATTCAGCTGCTTGTCGACGCTGTTGTTTCAAAGCTATTCCTTCCAATTGACGGGCAGATAGCCCAACACCTTTCTCGTCTTATCTTTCCATTCACAACTGTTCCGCGTCCGGTCTGCTAATGCTATATGTCGACAAGTTTTCGTCGAACCTTGGATGCAATCTGGCCATTGAGATATCCATGGAAAGCCGAGGAATGGTGTTCGTATAGGGATCCGGACGCACGTTGGGTAGGCCTTTACGTTGAACTATCGAAAATGTCTTATATGGAGCAAGCTGGCCAGGGAAGTGTGGCATTTGAAGTATTTTTCGTGCAGAACTTCGTTTCCTGTCAAGGTACGTCCTACCCAGGGGAGAGGAGGGGGGAGGGGGTATTGGGCCGCGTGAGGGAGGGGTCGTGATTGACTTGCAAAAAAGTTTTTGATGGTTAGTTTGTCCTGTTTCACGTGCGCTGTCGTTGAGATACCTCCACTGTGGAGGGGAGGGGGTGTCGTATCCTAAATTTCTCCCAGCGACAGGACGTGCCCTTTTTCCGTTTTGTGATACCTATCTTCACAAAGCTCTTTCTCACTCGGTTCAGCTAAAGATATCCATCTTTGCATGGCAGTCTCTTTTCCACAGATAGCCCTTTAAGTCCCCCCCCCCCCCCCTCTCCTTCACCGACAGGAGCCCTTAGAAGATCAATCAGGTGCTTTTCGGGCTCTGGACATAAGCGAGATTCTTCATTGTTGTGTGGGGACAGGCCGTTTTTTCGAGTAGGGGTTACTGTATAACTCGTAGAAACGTTCGAAAGCGCATAGGTCTCATGTAATAGATTATTCTCTTTTTTTCCGGTAAGACCTAATTGGCTCCCTGTTGAAAACAGCAGCAAGTACCAACACGGTCCTTGTTGTTCCAAAAACTAATTCCGGCACTCGCTTGACGTGATTTGTAAGATCGTGAGTTGCTTTCCTTCCATATTTCCTCTGTTTTCCTCTGAGGGATGTTCGGCTGTGGCATGTGAGGCCAGTCCCCCGTTTTTCTCCAGCCTTCATGAGTCGTCTCCCGCGGTTATGATTGCGAATCGGTACACAGTTGAGGCCTGCAAATGAGGGATTTGATGTTGTTCTCTTGTCTTGCCTCCATCAAAGATACGTTTTACCAGTGCTTACGCTTTCTCTTCACCTATCGTGGTAATGGTGACCTGTCGAAGTGATCTATCTCCTCCCTTTCGGAGCGAGTTGGTTTCAATTTATCCGATGTTTAGTGCTTGCTTCTATTACATTGCAGTCTTCTTTACTTCTGTTTCTCCTCAAGCTGTTCTCACAAAAGCTTTGCACAACACTTTCTTTCTTTGTTCCCTTCTTCCCTTCTGTCATTAACTCTTCCTCCTCTTCTTTTTTGTTTGCTTTTTCTTTTCTCTGGCACCTTTGCTTCACATGAGTATTGACATTCTTTATGGTCGCCTCCTTATTCTGGGCAAAGTGTTTTAAGATTTTTTTTCCAGCTTCTTCCGTTTAAGTACAGTGCAGTGTGCATTATTCATTCTCTGTTTCTTTCCACGGTCTGATTCATTCTGCTTTACTCTTTGAAGGCTTCTTTTTTGCCACAGTTTGCGATGCGATTGTTTTGACGGCGATGTAATGTCGAGTTGGAGCCTGCATTCTTTCTCTTGCTTTGAGGGAATTTGCATTGATGAGTGCTTATTTAGGCGAAAAGTATTGACATTACTTCCTGGTTCTAGCTATTTCGCTTGAATGCTTCAGGGCTACTCATGGGCTTAAGGTTCCGCCTTATTGTTGAGCGTAATGCTTTTGTTGTTCTCACAGTTTCGTAAGTACATTTGAGTGTGTGGAGGAAGTTTTTTTGCAACTTGCAAAGAGCTTCAGTTTCTCGCCTGAGTAAACTGTCAGTCCCCTCAAACAGGTGGGGTTCTCATTGATTGTCAGCTCAGGGATTCGAAGCCGGCAGGGAGATTCCGCGAAAAACATCAGAGCGATGAGGAAGTTCGGGGAGGGATGGGCTGGTTACCTTGTAGGTACAGGTGCCGGTGAAAATATTCAGCTGTATCGGATAGTTGCTGCCAGCGGCAACCATTAGAATGTGCCCGAACCTACTT